CCTATCAAAAGTTCTCCTGAATCACAAACCCGATTCAGTACGCTTACAAAACCAAAACCCTAGTTTTTTTACTAGTTGTCTAACCTAGATTCTTCACACACGAGTGTCCCGAGCCCTAGCTGGTGACTAATTTCTCAATTCAATCCCGGCTTGAGTGTGCATTAAACCTCAATTTAGCCCGCGTTGAATATGCCATTAAAACAAATTTAAAACAAAGTATCAAATATCAAATATGCACAACTAGACTGATCTTACAGTCCTTTGATTATACAAACTATTTTCCTTAATGATAATAGCAAAGCCCTGATAAGAATGGTGATGACTGATAAGAATGGTGATGACGATGAAATCCAAGGGCAGCACTCCTCGAAGGTTGATAATCAGATGATGAAGAGCGACATCAATGATGTTTTCTGAGAAGTCTCAGTAAGATCCTTTCACCAAATTGAAACCCCCCCACTTCTTTTTCTCTTTGAATTAGGTCAGGAGCTTCTGATGAAAAACATGAGAAAAGAGCCTGTATGTACTTAGAATTGAACGGCTCAGATTAAATCCAGAAATAGATTAGAATTCTTAAATCAGCGGATCAATCATCGATGGTCGAACTTCACCATGATGGTCAAGTTGTCACCATCGATGATCTGAACCTCTCTGGACATTTACATCATCGATGGTCTCTTCAATCATTGATGTTCAATAGATTAGTTAAGAGCTTTCCGAAAAGCTATTTAATAACGATTCCGATAACCTAGACAAAAGTTATGACTCATGCAAATAACAGAATAAATCAGTCAAAGACTTTCATATTCAGGATGGTTATTTATTTCATGGCGATCAATTGTGCCTACCCCAGAGTTCGCTAAGAGAGCAGATAATTAGAGACCTTCATGCTGGCGGGTTAGGAGGACACTTAGGGCGAGACAAGACGATTGCTTCCATTGAAGAGCGATATTACTGGCATCAGCTGAAGAAGGGAGCAGAAAAATATGTGCGGCATTGTCCAGTTTGTCAAGTTGCTAAGGTACAGTCTCAAAATACAGTATTGTATACACCTTTACCTGTTCCTGATACGCCATGGTATGATATCTCTATGGACTTTGTGTTAGGATTGCCTAGAACCCAACGAGGTATGGATTCTATTTATGTTGTGGTTGACAGGTTTTCGAAGATGGCACACTTCATTCCATGTAAGAAGACTGCAGATGCTAGCCACGTTGTCAATATTTTCTTTCGGGAGATAGTTCACCTTTATGGAGTGCCAAAATCCATCACATCCGATCGTGATTCTAAGTTCTTATCCCACTTTTAGAGGACTTTGTGGCAGCGATTCAATACTTCTCTTAAGTTCAGTCCTGCTTATCACCCTCAAACGAATGGCCAAACTGAAGTAGTAAATCGTACTCTCGGTAACCTTCTTAGATCCATCTCTAGCGATCGTCCGAAGCATTGGGATCTTGCTCTGGCACATGCTGAATTTGTTTATAACTGTATGGAGAATCGAACTACAGGCAAGGCTCCCTTTGTGATTGTGTACGGAAGGCTTCCGAATCATTATCTTGACCTTGCTCCACTGTCTAAGCTTCCCGGACAAAGTGTTCCTGTAGATCATATGATTGAAAAGATACGGGCTATCCAACATGAAGTCAATGAGAAGATAGAGCAGTCTAATGCTAAATATAAGGATGATGCTGATCGACACAGGAGGAAGAAGGTGTTTGAAGAGGGAGACATAGTGATGGTGTTTCTACGAAAAGAACGTTTTCCCGTAGGCACCTACAACAACCTGAAGAATAAGAAGTATGATCTCTGCAAGATACTGAAGAAGATTAGCGACAATGCTTATGTGGTTGACCTTCCTACGGATTTGGGTATCTCTCCTAGTTTCAATGTTGCAGATTTGTTTGAGTATTACCCGTCAGAAGAAACAACTATTTATACAAGTGTAAGCTCGGGGTCGAGCTCTTTTCAAGCAGGGGAGACTGATGTAGGACGCTTAATCTGAGTTGGAGTCTATTTAGATTAGGAAATAAATTCAATTTTAGAGTCAAATTAGATTAGGAAACAAAATCAATTTTGATTCATGATTTGTTTGCTCTATTATAAGGAGTATTTTTAGGATAGAATTTGACATTTTTTTTTTTGTAATTCTAGTCTTACTATGAGTCTTATTTGATACTTTCTATTTTTATAATTCCAGCCTTACTAGGAGTCTTATTTATTTTTCTATTTAAGAAGAGTCATGTAATCCCAAAGGAGAATAACTTTTCATCAATAAAATTTCTCTTTTCAATATTTTCTTCGTGATTCGAAGATCGTTCTTTGTGGATTCAGAGAACACCCTTGGTGGATTCCGAGGTTATCACTTCCGCGCTGCGTCAAATCTACTTTTATTCTTGTTGATCGATAGACCCCCCGAGTGATTTTTTCACTCTTTTTATTCTCAGGAGTCTATTTTCCGGGGGAAAAACAGAAAAAGCTTTCTCTTTGACCGAAGGGTATAATATTCAAAAAATCGCAGTGGTAGTGATGAGCCAATCACCATGTAAATATGTTGTATAACATACAATCACATCAGAATTCCAAAGCTTCCATAATCAGACCTCATGCTTCTAAAGCAAAAGCAACACTTTAATAAAAGATGTTGAGATGATTCGGTGAAAACATTACAAAAATTACGAAAAGAGTGGAACATTTATATCATGCTTAAAGATATTAATCTTAGTATGAATATTAATAAAGAACGTTTCTATTCAATTGATATATAAATATAACATACCGTGTTTTTTTTAAACGTATTTTCACTTTTTATCTAGACGAAATAAAATTATTCTCTAAATAATAAATAATTGTGACACCTCACTCCATAGAACTTTCGTACTTGGAGTCGAAAAGCATGATGGTTGGTACCCTTTATAAGCAGTGATTTGGATTTTTCTTCGTTAATTAGTGATTTGAAATTGTGGATAGTAACAAAGGGCAAGTCTACGAGAGGGAGTAAGAATTCTATCAGAACACCTTATAAAAAGGGGTGATTTACGAGTAGTTAGAGAGTTAGTTTGGGAAATATAGCTCTTCTATTTATGATGCGGATCATACCGACCACTCTATCGGATGGTTCTGATAGGATCCCCGCTGTACAAAAAAGAGAGCAGAATTCGGTGGATTCGGGTCTCACACCCGCAGACTGGTGATACCGGGCCTGAGGAGGTAACCGAACACGAATGGATATCAATTCCTGTCCCTTTAATTAATTGGTTATTAAAGAATCTAAACCCTGTTGAACAAGAGACATGATATGATTAATGAATATGACATGATAAGGTTATCATGATCCCATGAA